TCTTATTTACCTTGCACATTCAAATATGTTTATATGTCCATTTTGCAAAAATATAACAGCCCACTTGGTTGGTAAATCACAGATTTTTTAGACCAACCAGTGGGTTGATAGCTTTTTGCAAAATCGGAAGCTACCACATAAAGGTTATGAAAATATTTATCTGTGTTTGTTTACGTTTACAAAGCGGCAGGTGTACATCTCCGCCTCCGGAGTGATTCCTTTACTTAATAAAGTTTTAATTAGATAAAATAATCACATCATTGTGTTTTTTGGTGTTAAAAAGCAATTAGTTTTGTGTAAACTACTAAAATTAACAATTTCAACAGACAGATAATGAAAAGTAGAATGTGCTAGATTATCGCTATGGCGAAAAATGATGCAGAGAATAATGCAGAAAGTAAGTCTGGGATAGTCCTATTAAAACATTATAGGACTTGTTTTACCTGTCGGCTGTCCCAGTTAGGTTCCAACTTCATTTTTTTTTGGAAATATTCTACTTCTTTTAGCTAAAGATAAAAAATCGAGAGTGGCTGCAAATGCAGAAAAACACCACGGAGAAGATTGTGTTTACCGAATATCTCAGTTTGAGGATTCTGCAGAAGATATAGAGATAGAATGCCTAGATAAAAAATCGGGAGCGGCTGCAAATGCAGAAGAACACCATGGAAAAGATAGTGTTTACCAAATATCTCAGTTTGAGGATTCTGCAGAAGATATAGAGATAGAATGGCTAGATAAAAAAGCGGGAGCGGCTGCAAATGCAGAAGAACACCATGGAGAAGATTGTGTTTACCAAATAACTCAGTTGAGGATTCTGCAGAAGATATGGAGATAGAATGGCTAGAAGAATGATATCAAGATAGAAAAGAAGAATCACAAAGAGAAGAAGAAAAGTACACAACATGGTAAATAAATACTCATTTATTAGAAAGTCTAGAGTATTAACACTTGTTTTTTGAAATGAATGAATTTAAACTTATAAAAACCAAAATTAAAACAAAAGTATTTTAAACCATTATTATCAATTTTCTCAAAACAAAACATCTGTGGTTTGGTAGGTTTTTACATAACTACCTCCAGTTATGCTTCACTTGTCTGCTTAAGAAGTGAAAATTCGGAAAATTCCCAGTAGTTCAAATGTAACATTAAATATTTATCACATTGTAAATAAATTCATTGCATCAATATATTTCACTTACTATCTACACCTAAAAATGGAAGAGGAATATCTCTCTTGCTAAGTACAGATGCTAAAAATGTTTAATAACAGTTTAGAGTTTAATAACATTTAGTATCTGCCAAATACTTATGACATTTGAACTACTGATATTTCAGTGGCGGCTTTTCTTTATGTGCTGCTGAGCTGCAGAACTACCAAACAACCATAGCAAATCTTAATTATTAAAGAATAATTAATATAGTTTTATTTCAAATCTGCCATATTATCATATTAAACATAAACTGTTAATAATAATTCACCAACAACGATGATTAATATTATTTTTTTTACGTATTTACTCCTCTAGTGAAACCGTATAATTTTTTTACGTATTTGGTGCTCCAGTGAAGCAATCTTTTTACGTATTTGCTGCTCCAGTGAAGCCGCGTCGATAACAACCGAAACACTGGCAGCGGTAAAATGCATTTATTAGGCAAACGGCGATCTTAGCCGATGTGCTTCGGCAATCGGCTGATTAACGGCCTCGGAAATGTGTTTGCGAGCTGCAATTCACGACAGTTATTCGTGACCGTTGCATCTGTGCCGTGTTTAGAAATTCTTAGGTTACAATTTTGTTTAATTTGTTTTGTTCGAGCGTGTTTAAAACAATGGAGTTTCAATTTAAATTAGGTGTAAATAAATTTCAAAAACTTCACTATCAACAACAGTTGATTATAAAAGAACGTGGCCGTCCTATGCCTGATCTTAATATTGAAGTGTCCGGTAAAAGCCGTGGAAAAACATATACGCGTAAATTTAATAAAGACATGTATCTACGAAATCAGTGGATTTGTGGATGTTCCGAAAAAAATGCTTTTTTCTGTTTTCCGTGTGCATTATTCGGCGCAGATAAAGAGGAAAAATTGTGGCGCGAGACAGGAGTGCGGGATCTAGTGCATTTAAGTGAAAAAATAAAGAAGCATGAAAACACGCAAACTCATATGAACAATGAAATGCGATTTGCATTATTTGGGAAACTTAATATACAGGCCCAACTTGACTCTGCTTATTGGATAAATATACAAAAACACAATGAAGAGGTGACGAAAAACAGGTATGTTTTGTCAAAAATAATTGACTGTATAAAATTCTGTGGGGCTTTTGAGCTCGCCTTACGAGGACACGATGAATCTGAAACATCAGATAACCCTGGAATTTTTCGTGGTTTAGTGAATTTTTCTGCTGAACTTGATAAAACACTTAGTGAACACCTTACAAATGCGACAATTTTCAAAGGTACCTCAAAAACAATACAAAATGATATTTTGGATTGCATGCTAGAAGTATACGCTGAGGAGATTTTAAACGAAATCAATGAAGCCCCATTTTTAGCAGTGATAGCTGATGAGACAACGGATGTTTCTATGAAATTTCAAATGGTCATTGTTTTTCGTTATGTAAAAAACGGTGCTCCAGTTGAAAGGTTTTGGACTTTTTTGCTTCCAGAAAAACATGATGCTGAAACCTTAGCTAACACAATTTTGAATGTTTTAGACCCAATATTAAAGAATAACAAAAATAAGCTCATTGCACAAAGTTATGACGGAGCAGCTGTTATGAGTGGGATACATGGCGGAGTGCAAACAATAATTAAGAGAAAATATGAAACTGCTCATTTTGTGCACTGTTACGCCCATCAATTGAATCTAATAATGTCAAGAGCATGTTCTATTAATTCCCAAGTACGCGTATTTTTTGGAGATTTACATGATATACCTGGATTTTTTAGTCATTCACCTCAAAGAATAGCTGTCTTAAATCAAATAGTTGGAAAAAATATTCCTCGTTCAATCCCTACACGCTGGAATTTCAATATTCGTACAGTAAATGTCGTTTACGAATATAGAGACTTTATTATTGAGTGTATGGAGCAACTAGAAGAAGAGTCAAATGCTATTACTTCCAAGGAAGCAAGAGGACTTAGACGTATTCTGGAAGATCAAAATTTTACTTTCTGGCTGACTGTTTTTCATTATATTATGCCACATGTTGACGTTTTGTACAATAATCTTCAAAAAAAGAACATGGACCCAACCGAAGCACAGAAAGCTATACATGTTTTTGAGCAAAGTATTAACAATGTCCGAAATAAAATAGACCCTATCATACATCAAGCTTCAAATTTAAATGCGGCGCCTAGTGTCCAAAAAAGGAAACGCCCAAATAACAGCCAACAGGATCACCGTATTGCCTGTCTAGAAGTTTGTGATGTTATTATAAACAATGCAAAAGAACGGTTTGCATATACAAATCATCTAGTTGCCGCAACACTTTTATCTTCAGAACATTTCGAAAAATATAATAATAAGTTTCCTGAAAATGAATTGGATTTAACTTGTACAGCTTATAACTTCTTTGATAAAAACCGTTTGCGAACAGAACTGTCAGTTTTGTATTCCAATATCGAGTGTAGAACATTAAAAGGTGCAGTGCCTTTACTAAAATTTATAATTTCTAATAATTTAGAGGACACATTAACAGAAACCAAAAAGTTGATACAAATTCTGGTGACTACGCCAATGACCACAGCAGAAGCTGAACGTAGTTTTTCAACTTTAAAACGGATCAAAACATTTTTAAGAAATTCAATGTGCGAAGACAGATTAACAGCCCTTTCCACACTCTCGATAGAAAAAAAGTTCATCGCTTCAATACCGAACTTTAACGATAAAGTAATCGAAAAGTTTGCGACAAAAAAGGACCGGCGTATTAATTTCCAATTTAGAAAAATGCAATAAATGTAAGTTAATCAGATTTTTATAGCATGTCGTTATTAGTTACTATTAATTAGTATTAAAGCTAATTTTATTGTTTTTGTTTTCGTATGTTATTCTATTTCTATTATTTTATATTGACCGTGGTTCATGCAGCACACCCTATAGCAGATGTCACGAGCCGCCACTGTGATATTTTAAAGTTTTAGTTATGTGGTTAGGGATGCAAATATGTCTCCACATAAAAAAATGTCATATTAATTTGCACTTACTAAAGCTAGAAATAAAATCCCTAATATAAAAGCAAATGTTTAAAAAACTGTGTTAGGGAAATGAAGTTAACTTTTATTTGATATTATTGAACTACTGTCATTGTGGTAGGTATGAATTCTAAATTGCAAACTTATTTAGAAGGAAGAATATTTACTGTTAAGAAGCTCTATTTTCAAAGACAATCAATACTTAAGTCAACAAAACGTTTTATAATGAGGCAGACATTGATTATGTATAAAATATTATTTGAAAATCACTTTCTATGTTTGTTTTGTGTTAAACAATATAAAAACACACTTTATGAATCATCATTTATAAGCATTTATCAATGAAAACAACTTTTACGAACAATATTATTACCTTTTGTCAACCAAGTGCTGTATATATATACCATAATAAAACCTGAAAATTTCTATTTAATAGTTTTATCAATCAAACAAACCATCTTTGTTTACAGTGTTAATCAGAAAATAAATAATTAATATACTGGACCATCGAGAAAAATCTTAATTAGAGTATATAAACTAAATTAAATCAAATAAACATCGTAATTAGAGTGGAATATAAATTTAAACGAGACATTTGAAAAATCATAAAAAATTTCAGAACATATTTTTTAAGATCTGTCAAATTTATAAATTTTTGGTTATGTAATTGTCTGGACGTGGCTACTGCCCCGATCTGCGTTATTTTTAATACACAGATCTAGATTAAATTTTTCTAGATAGTCCAATAATATAGACTTTGAACCGACATTTCTGAGATCAGACTGACAAATATTTTTTTTTAATATCTCACACCTAAAAATAGAAAAATAAATAAACTTAACGCTAGAGTCAGATAAAGGGTTTCGTTAATATGGAAGCATATGACATGTCGAAGGAAAATGTACGTGTACGAATTTGGTTTCGGTGTCTTAGAGGGTAGGTTTATTTACATGGATTTGAGTACTTCTTCCATTTGTGTGCAGACGTCCGTGAAGGAAGGTCGCTGTTGAGGGTCGACGCTCCAACAAGATTCCTGAAATTTGAAAATTTGCTGTGAAACAAAGTATTTCCAGTGTGTTTAATAAGAAAATTAGAATATTATACACATGCTTGGGTTTCTCCTTAGCAGTTTTGATTTCTAGAGTCTGGGCTCGTGAATATTTATTTTAGAGCTGATTAGACAATGAATATTAACATCAAATAATCCTTATAATTAAAAACAAAGATCACAATTCACCTGCAAAGCGATCAGCTCTTCAGGCGTGGAGGGATGTGGCTTCCACTCGATTTTCTTCTCCTTTAATTTGTTTAGGAAAGTGTTATCGTTAATTTTGGACTGAGGTAATTCTCCTTGAGCAAATATTTCCCACATTAAGACGCCAAAGGCGTAGACGTCACTCTTCGTTGAGTATTCGTCCTCATAGACTGCTTCATACGGCAGCCATCTTAGAGGAATAACCTGAACAGTAAAATATATATAAGTACATTATAATTTACACATACTATTAATTAAAAATGATTGTACACAATATCTTACCTGATTGACATGTTTGCAATATTCCTGACTGTAAGGATCTCTAGTTAACCTTGGCAGTCCAACTTTAGCTACAAGTAGAGAAGATATCAAACAGTTTCTCGCCGCTAGATCCTTGTGAACTTGTCTATTGTTGGCCAAATAGTCCATACCGCGGGCTAATTGATGCAAAACGGCAACAGCTTGCACGGCCGTTAGAGGTGGAGGACTGCCGGTTTTTGTAGCCACCAGGAATTTCTTCAGATCGCCCTAAAATAAGTATTTAATGAAGTTCTGTATCGGAAATATATGGAGAGACAAGTTGGAACATTCTAAAACGAGTCTTTTTGAACGCGTGAACGAATTTCTATTGATCATAAACCATTCAAAACGACGAATAACAAAAGTAGACTTCTTTTCTGAACATACAACATTAATTAACATACAACAGTAATTTCATTTGTAGTGGTACCATCTACGATCCAGATCGAGAACTTACGTTGGATACCAACTGCAAGAAAAGAAATTGAAATATTCTTTGGGATAACTCTATGGATGGGATTGCTAAAAACATCACAATTACGCGACTATTGGAGCAGAAATTACTTATTTGTTACCAATATAAGACACAAAATGTCTAGAAATCGTTTTGAGCAATTACTTTCAAATATTCACTTCAACAATAATGAAACAGCGCCACAACCAAACTCAACGGATTTTGATCGGCTTCACAAAATATCTCCGTTGGTTCAAAAACTTATTTCTAGATTTCAGCAAATTGTTACTCCAGGAGAAAATGTCTGTATTGACGAGATTATGGTACCTTATCGTAGTCTCTTGAAATTCAAGCAATATATCAGAAATGAAAAACACAAATTTGGTATCAAATTATATAACCTTTGATTAGAAAACGGCGACACTTATGACCTCAAAATTTACTGTGGAAAAGATAGTCAGGGTGGTCAAAATGCCTTTTTATCTATTATTCTATCACTTATGGAAGGGTTGTTAGATACGAGCGTCACCCTTGCTCATACATTGCTCAGCCGTACAGCTCTAAGTTGCCAAGAAAAAACTAAAAAAAAAAATGAAAAAGTTGCACTACAAAGTAATTCCAGAGTTGTAATGTTAAAATGGTGTGACAAAAGGGATGTCTTGATGATTAGTACAAAGCATGGGGATGAAATGTTGAAACGTCTACACAAAGGCAAAGAAATTGAAAAGCCCAAAATGATTGTTGATTACAATGATTCAAAATCCTTTATCAGATCAGAAAAAAGCGTATTCACATTGCTAGAGACGAGGGAATAAATGATACAGGAAATTGGACACAGAATTATTGTTTGGTAGTGCCTTGGTGAATGCTCTATATACACAGATTATACAAACTAAATTGACTGTTGCTCCTTTACGTGACAAAATTCTTTCGACGCAATAATTTCAAAAATGATAATGAATATTTTGAATAGCTCATGACTATGTTGAAACAAACATACTTCTAAACAAATTCAGTGATGCATTTTTCTCTTCTTAAGGTGCCGTGCATTTCTGCGTAGGCGTCCACCGTACATCGTCTTGTCAGGTGAGATGTTAGATATTCGGGATTAAATAATTCTGTTTTTAGCAGCATTGCGAAGCATTTCATAGCTGTGGATTTCTTTCCATATTCGAATATTGCGCAGCAATGACATTTTTTTACGTCCCAGACCTCTCCTACCCTCTATCTTCTTTTCGAGTATCAGTTGCTGATGCACAGTGAGGCATAAAATTCAATAAATAAATTTTTTTTTTAGTTTATGATAAAAGAATTGGCGTCTCGAGACGTTGGACCCACCTTGTCCGGATAAGGGTTAATAAAAAAAGATATCTTGTGCTAAATTCTTGTAAAATTTCATAAAAAAACTTTAAAAAATCATTCCTGTACTTCCCATACGACTTACAATAATTCTAAATAAATGTAGAAAATGTGGTTTTTATTCAGTCCTAATCGTAAAAGGTTCCAATACTGCACTTAAAGTCCTATATTGCTCTACCTCGCACTTTATTGATCTGTTTCTCACTTGTTTTGCCGAAACTATAAGAGTTATAGTGTTCCTAACCTAACCTAACTTCAAGCTTAGGGAAACTTGTCAGCTTCCACGTAGCAAATTCTCATAAATCAAGATATATTATCTAAAAAAATCATTCCGTTAATCGTTACTCACCCAGTCTGAATGTTCAATGATCATATAATGCGGCTCAGCTTCTCGGCACAGTCCAAACAGCTTCGTAATATTCTCGTGGTTGAGTTTATTAAACAAATCGATCTCTCTCTTGAATTCTGCTAAACAATGTTCATCCTTGGTGTTGCCAAGAGCTTTTACTAGTACGTGAACTTCTTTGTCGTCGGCATCTGAGGTCGACTGGGAGGTTTTGGAGTTTCGTTTTTCGTTGGCGATGACGCTTTTGGTCGTCTTAGACACAAATACTTCGCCAAACTCTCCACGACCTGCAGAAGATAAAATTAGTTGGACAGAAAGTGATGTAACAAAGAAAATTCTTTTGTATCTAAAGTACTTTTCCCCCAATTAAAAAAATCAATTAACTTACCAATTAGCTTAAGTTCTTTCAAATGACTCCTGGATAAAGCTAGTTTGTCATAGAGACTCGATTTCGACTTCTTCGAGTGGTTTGACGATTGGGAATTGGTTGTTTCTGCACCGTCGCTTCTTTGTCCCTCTTTATGGCTCTCTATACCGTTGAGTTTGACCTTGGGGGCAGTTGAACTGGTACCGTTGATCGGTTCTTTAAGTTCTGTGTGTTCTAAATCGCCGTTTTCTGCTTTTGGAACTGAAATAAACATAGGATTATGATCTGAGTATGAACAATAAGAGTAGATACCTGATTAAATTGACACTGACCATCAGCAAGAGGTACTTTCCGCGACTTTCTTCTATATCTGCACCACACCATCAAACCGACCACCAAGATGATGTAGGCTCCGGCTACTGACATCGTTATTAGCACTGCTCTTGTGACTGTTGAGTCACCTGCTTGCATACTATCTAACGCTAAAAAAATTCTAATTAGTATTGACATGTAATCGAAGTTATTTTTCTTATTTTGGTTAAATAAGTTTAGAGATGAATTGTTTGCATTAAAACATTAAAAAATATCTATCGATAAAAAAAGAAGAAGAAAGGGCACAATAATTGATATATTGGTATAAATCAATAAAAAATTAAATCATATTCTAATTAAGTGAATTATATGTTGAATATATAAGTACAATTGTTATAAATAATGAAATTGTCGTCCTTTTTCTACGCCCCTGAAAAAGTAGTTCTAATATTCCATGGGTCAACAGGGAAGGGACCTAACCTGCAAATTATTTTACTTGGTAAATTGTTAACGTGAGCGTTTAGGGACGTTTGTAGATGAATCGTTTACATTAAAACATTAAAAAACACCTATCGATAGACAAAAAGAGGAAAGAGCCCAATAAAATACATATTTGTATAAATAAATTGTGGACCACTGGTACGTATATATATATATATATATATATATATATATATATATATATATATATATATATATATATAATCGAAAACCTCTCTACCCTAAGGTAGAGAGGTATTACAATACAATTACAGGTTACAGATATACATTACATCTCAAATCCAATGAAAATATTTATTCTATTAAATTTATTCTATTCTGTGCACGAATTTTGTCCATTCTTTCTTGTTTTTTGCCTTATTTTGAGCTTCTGACCATTCCAATCCCCTATTTTTCAAAATCTGCCCTACTTCGTCATCCCAGGTTTTCCGTGGTCTGCCTCTAATTTTAAACCTTTTCACTTTAGCCTTCCAGACTTGCTCAACGGGTCGGTTGTCGCTCATTCTGCACAAATGACCAAACCATTTTATTTGTTGTGTTTTAATAGCATGTAGTACTGATTCTGTACCCAGTTCTTCTCTAACATCTTCATTTCTTATTTTGTCTCGTCGTGTTATTCCTTTGACTCGTCTTAGATATTTCATATCAATGGCTTGTATCTTGCTTTTTAATTGCTTTGTTAAAACCCAGCTCTCGCTTCCATATATCAAGATTGGTCGGAATACTGTCTTATAAACTGTCATTTTGGTTCTTCTGCTGATTTCCGGTTTACCTATGAATGCTCTACTAAGATTATGGTACACTTTTGAAGCACTACTGATTCTTTCTGTTATTTCATTCTGCATGGTACCTTCTCTGTCTATTGTAATCCCTAGGTATTTGAATGCATCTACTTGTTCTATGAGTTGTTGGTTAATTTCTATGTTAACATTTCGGTTAGTTTTCGCTATTAGCATCACCTTGATTTTCTGAACATTAATCTTCATGTTTCTGATTGCCAGCTCATTATTCCAGGTATCTATATTTTTCTGGAGGTTCCTTTCGTTGGAAGCGCATAACATGAGATCATCTGCGAATGCACACTCAGCTATACCAACCGGTCGTAGTTTACTACATCCGATATGTACTTTGTGTATACTTGCTTTTGTTTCCTTAATTATGTCGTCAATAATCAATATGAATAGTGTGGGGCCATAACACCTCCTTGTCTTAGACCCTCGTTTATTGCAAACATCTCTGATTCCAAGTTATCCTTACGTACATAACTCTTGTTATTTTGATACAGACTTTTGATAGCACCTGTTAGTTGATGGTCAATATTTCTATTTTGCAGACTTTTCCAGACTGCTTCCTGGGACACTCTGTCAAATGCTTTCTCAATATCTAGAAAAGCCATATATATTTCTGTGTTCACGTTCTGGGAATAGCAACTGAAAAATAGACAAACGGGAATAGCAACCTGGAATGTTCGAGGATTACTTCAACCAGGCAAACTGCATATACTACAACGAGAGATCGAAAGAGAGTATATAGAAATATGAGGACTTTCGGAGACCCATTGGAAAGAAAAAGGACACTTCCGAACGACAGATCATGTTGTTTGCATATCGAAAGCAAATTACACAGGAAGAAAACCAACCGATAAATGGTAGGCTTATGATAGGCTGGAGATTTCAAATCCGAAAACATTTAGAGATGAACAGTAAGTCTATTTCTATTACATGTCTATATTCAAAGGATTATTTCGCTTAACTTAAAAAGTACTTACAGTGAACGATGAGTTGTACTTCTTTTCTGTTCAAGCCAGCGCTACTCCCAGCAGTACACCCGTACTTGTTTTCGTCGTCTTTGCGAACGTGCTGAATGTACAAGGTACCGTTCTTCAATACCTGGAATCTCTCCAAATCGAAATCGTTCATTTTCAAATTTTTGTCCCACTGGATCGTCGGCTTCGGATCGCCTTCCACCACGCAGTCGATAAAGATCGATTCCCCTTCGACCGCCTCGGTGGGGGTCTTCGGCAAAACGCTAAATTTCGGAGCAACTAAAAGAAAAATAAGCAATGTCAAAACGGAAGATTTCCAATGTCTTGGAAATTCGTATGGATTACTCACCTACAACATCTATTTGTATGGAAGCGTTGATGATTCCTTGGCTGTTGCTAGCGATGCAATTATACCGGCCTTTATCTTCGCCAAGAACTCCGTTGAAGTGTAGAGTGCCGTTCATATCGGAAATGTGGCTAGATAGGTTCTCCACCGGGATGCCTTCTTTTTCCCAACGGATAATCGGCGGAGGGGTGCCTTGAGCCTTGCAATGTACCTTAGCAATGCTGCCCAGTTCCATTTTTTTGTTTACCGGAGCAGGTACGAATCTTAATTGTTCTACAAATAAGGCACAGTAATTAAAAAAATCTAAAAACTTTAATCCTACTTGATAATATATGTGAAAAGAATTGTAAGAAATATGATTAGAGATCAAAAGAGGACATCAGAGACTAGAAGAACATGTAATAATGTACAGGATATCGACGAATGGACACTAAACGAAAAAAAAAAATAATAATAGAAATAATTACACCAAGCAGAATTGCTTATAGAAAGGAAGATGATTCGTAAGAAACAACAATAATAAAGTTTTTGAGTTTGCGTACGATCAATGGCGCACCCAGGGGGTTTGGGGGTTAACCCTCCCCCCCCCCCCAGAACCCTATTACGACACTGTTATTTACAAATTTTAAGGACTTAAAATGGTGGAGGTAGCATAAAAAAATTTCGGTGCCCAACCAAAACCCAGCCCAGAAGAAAATTCTAGGTGCGCTATGTCAAATGTGCAATATTGAAAAGGAGATAGCAACATAGGTTTCTGGTAACAATTCACTGAACTTGAATGGTTCTGGTTATTCAGACATACAGCAGCAGCACGCTGCATTAAATATACCTATGATTTCCTACAGGCAGTATGCAAAACATACGGAAACAGTTGCAGATATCATCGGCCAAACACTTTGTGATTCCATAGAAGAGGCTGGACGGGAGGAATTAGCTTTAGCCAAAGAAATTGGTGAAGTAGGTTCCGACGGAAATGGGTTAATAACCGTTATAGCTGATGGTGCTTGGTCAAAAAGATCGTATAAAGTAAACTACGATGCTTCTTCAGGTGTAGTACCTGACGTTGTAAAATATATTAAATGAGTACGCCTTTGATGGATAGGACATGTAATTAGGCGAGATGAAGATGAAACGATCAGAAAAATTTTCGACCGAAGAGGACCAGTGGGAAGACAATCCAGAGGAAGACCAAAACTTAGGTATCAAGATATCATAGAGGATGATCTAAAATCCATCGGAGTTAGAGCTTGGGGAAGAGGTGCCAAAGACAGGGGCGAATGGAAGATTGTTCTGAAGAAGGCTTTGGCTCATGACGAGCTGTAATGCCACTGATGATGATGAAATAACTATCCACGATTTGTGTTTTATTCATAAATTAGATACTTTTCTTATGTAACTGCAATCTATAAATATATTAAAATAATGTATATTCCATTCAGAGAACTTTTTCCTCACAGTGCGTCGCCTCGAAATACTTGCCAGATAAATACATTTACTATTCTGATGGTTTCGCAGGTACCAATTTTTTATAGATAAATAAAAATATTTTTTGTCTAATTTTTACTACGCTAATATCAGTTTTCTCTAACAGATAAATAACTTCTTGAAATAATTTTCAAGCTATAACTGCGAAATTCGTTTGTGACATTAAATTGTAATTTTTTTGATAAGAATATTCTTATGTTATTTTAAATTTATTATAAATAAACACCATGGTGTTTTTTGCAGTCACGTTTCACAAATTTTTATTCAATACTATGTTTAGCTAAGACATATAAATTAAAAATGTGATTAATTCTTTTTAAAACATTATCTACGATAATCAATCTAAAAAAAGTATTCCGACAAAACTAATTTGAATGGAGAATAATGCATTTATTGTCAATAAACAACCCGTGGGCCGGCGCCACTGAATAAACATCGAAACTGCAGATTTCAAATTAGGAAGTCACGTAGGGTCTGACATAAGCAGTGTAGAAAAGTAAGTGATACGCCCACTTCAAATCGTAGTATGCTTTAACTGCGAAAACAGCCATAATTCAAATAGTTCAGTGAACAGAATATTAGCAACGACTTATGTGAACACTTCCCATGCCGCGGAATGATCCAAAACCTTTAAAACTATTACTAAATGATAAGTAATGTATAATAAATCTCCAGAATCATTAATTGAACCTTTTTCTAAAAAATCTACACGTCACATCACTTTTATTCTGCTTCAATATAAATTTTTAACTTACTCTCACGTTAAAACAAAAGTTTAATTCATTTTTGTGATATTATCCTACCTGTCATTTCATTTTATTACTATGCACATATCGGAACAAATAAAATCGAATAGTATGATAAAATTATAAATTAATTTTTAATTTTCATCGTATTTTAATGTGCGGAATAACTGCCATCGCATATTGATGAAAATGAAAACTTTAGGGATGTTATCATATTAGTTTTATAAATGTGTTATAGAGATGAGCTAACGAGCCACGGTTTTTTTTTATTAACAAAATTGCATCAGCCAAATTGGCTATTAGCGAACAATAATTTTTATTACATTTATAATATTAGTTTATATAGAATTTAAAATATTAAGTGAGGTTAAGAAACTTTTTATGTTTGAAATATTGCACTGTAAACCTAAAATGTCACTTAGTTTGTTGGGTATACTGTACAATATGCGCTTTGGCGTTAATGCTGGACATTTTTCCAATATATGTTTGACTGTTATTTTTTCATCACAGTTGTCACATCTTGGTTCTTGTTTGTTAGAGAACACGTAGCTATTCGTTAGTCGCGTATGACCCAGTCGAAGTCGCGTTAATATTACCTGGTCTCTTCGACTTGTTGGTAATGTGGGCCAGGGTTTAATCGATTTTTTTACATCGCGTAGCTTTGCCGATGACACTTTCCACTTTTCATTCCACATATATCGCACTTTAAATTTAACCGTTGCTTTCACGTCCGCACTCGTAAATGTCTTAGTACATTCCGCACTATCACTACTTGCAGCTTCTTTTGCAGCGTTGTCTGCCTCTTCATTTCCTGGAATTCCAATATGGGATGGTATCCAAAATAATATAATATTTTTTCCATTCAGTTGAGCGGTGTGGATTTCTTCTTTTATCTTGATGACTAAAGGATTAGTTGGGTAGACATATTGGATTGACTGGACTGAACTTAGAGAGTCTGTGAGTATGATATAATTGGTGTTATTGGATGCATTGACAGCAAGGGTAGCCTGGTATAGAGCATACAGTTCAGCAGAGTAAATGGAGTACTCTGAAGGGAGTTTATATTTATTTGTCGATGTTGGGGTTATGATTGCAGCACCAGTACCTTCATTTGATTTAGATGCATCTGTGTATATATGTGTATAGTCCTTGTAGTTGTGAAGCATATCGTTGAAGGCGGATTTGAATAACTGTGGGTTTGTTGAATGTTTGTCAAAAGAAATGAGGCGGGTTAGGCACTGAGGATTCTTTATTTGCCATGGAGGAATTGAGGACAATTGGGAAGAAAAGCATTCTGGGAACGTGTAGTTTAATTGATTTAAATAGCTTCTAATCCTTGCGTAGAAAGGTTTGGCAGTTCTTGGCTTATTTATGAAGAGATTTGGAAACTTTTCTGTAAAACAATTGTTAATGGTAGGGTTTTTTGGGTTAGACCTGATTTTTGCGGCATATGCTACACTTAAATAAAGTCTTCTGTCTTCTAAGGACGGTTCACCAACTTCACAATAAATACTTTCGATTGGTGTTGTGCGAAAAGAGCCACGGTTTTGTTGCTGTGACAAACAGAAGTAACTTTTCTATTGGTTAATGGTTTCACGTAAATATACCGGAGCGAGCAGTTTAAATGGATTTTATAAAATATATCGCACCCTTGCTTCAAAAGTAACACAACTCAAAAAATGTAGTTCTTGGTGAGAAGCAAAAAACTCATTTTTCATTGGATATGGGATATTTAGATGATTTAAAATTAAAACCAGCTATAGCTTGGTTTTATAAACAACATTTAGTTTAGATTTGTTTGGTATCTACTTTTTCTTACCTTAAAAATACAATTTTTTGAGAGGTATCTCTGTATTTGTTTTTCGATAACGCTGTGGAAATTATCACCTTTGTTTTGAGAATGTCCATGTATTAAAAATTTGTGTGTAATACTGGATATTTTATTAAATTTTGTCACTGCGTACAGATATGCTGTGAGAAAATACTTATTTTTTTGCTGACCAGTGCAGTTGTCAGAGTAGAATGTAATATCTAAATCTGTGGGGTGCTCCACGCTTACCTTCTGTTTCATTACAGAAATAGCAACGAACGTCTTTAAAATTCAGGTCGCTAATGGTGAAGTTGTAACAGTTCAGTTTACTTTTGTAGTAAAACGATGACACTTACTTTTAGGCACTGGCATTACTGCCTGCAAATCATATACTGCAACATGAGACCCGTTTGACTTATTTTGGTCATTCTCTTTTTATTGCGGGAAAGCTCTTTTTCCTTTATCTTCTTAACGTGCCCTATTAAGTCCCCTTGACGTTGGCGATTAACATGGCGAAACTGTCTCTGTCTCGAGCTATTCTAAATAGTTGCTCAGCTTTCTTTATTCCTGTCCACTCCCTGATATTCTTCTACCAAGAGGCCTGCTTTCTACCAATTCCTCTGCGTCCTTCGATTTTACCCATCATAATAAGTTGAAGAATATTATATCGGTCTCCCCTTACTATATATATCCGGTTTTTTAGGCGTTACGCCCGTACGGTAGGGATCTATGGAGGAGTATGACCGAGCCGCAAGCCCTTATCTCTTGCCGTACTGCTCCACCATAGGCCGATCAGATCCCAGCATATCCTAGTCTAAGCCGCAGATTCATCTAGAATTTTAAACTGCTGCGTTAGACTTTTTGTTTTCTGTACACCGAGCTGGGGCTCGATCCCACATCCACTGAACCATTCGACAGTGAAGCGAATGAGAGGCAGCCGCACAGCCCGCTGAGCTATCTGACCGACTCTCCCCTTACTACGTGTCCAAAATAGGCCATCTTTCTACATTTGATGTTATCAAGCAGCTCGCGAGCAGCATTTGCTCTTTCAAGGACTGCCACATTTGTCAGCATAGCCGTCCATGGAATTTTTAGTATACGTCTGTGCAGCCACATCTCAAAGGCCTTCAGACGATTAATCGTGGATATTTTTAATGTCCATGCTTCGACACCGTATAAGAGGACTGACCAAATGTAGCATTTAACCATGCGCTTTCGAAGTTGAAGTTGCA